GAGGGCGGCGAGCGGAGGCGGCGGCACCGGCACGGCCCCCCGGCCACGTATGACATGGAGACACGGAGGGAGGACAGGGAGCGCAGGCACCGGAGGAGGAAGTAAGTGGAGGCCGTCTCTAATCTGGGCAATGGCAGCGGTAGTGATAATGATAACCGTAGTGGCGCCTGCTGTATACCTGGCACTCTCCTGAGCAGCTCAGCCTTCTCAGCACCCCCCTGGGAGAGAACCCACTGTCATCGCCCCAGGTCACAGGAAACAGAGGTGGGAAGACTTGCCCAAGGTCACACATCTAACAGGTGGCCTTGAACCCAGGCTGTCTGAGGCCAGAGGCCGCAGGCAGACCATTAAGCCCTCGTGCATGTCCCTCAGAGTTAAACAGCTTTTCCAAGTGCTCGCTGTGTGACTTCGGGCGAGCGACTTCACGACTCTGGGCCTCAGTTTCTCAATCTGTAAAATGGCATAGTGGCTCATTGCTGGAATTAAATGAGGTGATATGTGGAAAGGGCCTGAATGAGCAACTGACACATAGTAATTGGTCAGTTGAGACCATTTTTAGCTGCTTTTCCTGGGGGAATTTGAAAAGCCATCTGGGCTCTCAGCACTGAAGGGAGAGCAGGGGTCAGGAGGCCGCTTCCAGGCCAGCACCGTACCCAGTCAGAAACGGCCACCTGTTTTTCCTAATGTAACACTCCTTAGAAGGTCCTATAGTGATTTAACACCTGGGAGCCCAACAGCTTACATGTCGAAACAGATCGTTTTCTTTTATTAATTAACGTCCTCTTAGTCTTCTTTCATATCACCATTACAGTGTCATATTGATTTTTTAAAGATGTGTTTACGTGGTTCTGTCATGTGACATACACAGCAGGCCATCACTTCCCAAAATCAGACCTTTGCATGGATCCTCAGGGGTCTTGCTGAAACACAGGTCCAAATTCGGTAGGTCTCCAGAGCAGCCTGGGAGTCTGCCTTTCTCAGGAACTCCCAGGTGAGGCCAGTGATGGCTGCACACTTTGAGCAGTGAGACTCAAGGGGACAGAGTGGTGTAATTCAGAGGCAGGCCCCTGTACCCAAAGTCACCAGGAATTGGACAGGTGCAAATGCTGACTGACTCGGGCCTTGCAGACAACTCACATGACATGAGGGCGTTGCCATCAGCGTCCAGATGTTTCAAAATGGTAACACTTCTAGGTGAAGTTTCTTATGATATAGAGTCAGTTGGTCCAACAGTTGCGTTCTGGGAAAATGCAATATATATTTAAATCGTGCAAAAGTACTTTATGCTCACGTGGAAAACAGGGTTAGGTTAAAACTAAAGGCACAGATCATTGCAAGCAGACATTTCCACCTGTGTGAGGAACATGAGAAAGTCATGAAGGAGAACAGGGTAATTATTCTCCAGGTGGGAATGCCCTGCACATGGTAGAATATTAGTGGACCCGCTTCTCACTTCCCGAATGCCCACAGTGCTCCCCAAATCTTTTATCATCATGTCTTCACATATCTCCACATCCGCCAGGTCATTTCTGCTCTAAAGTTTTTTCTTACGTTTTTTTCGTTCATTCTGTCAGTGTTTACTAAATAAGTGCCTGCTGTAGTCTAAGCCAGCACTGTGGGTTCAATCAAGTGACTACAGGTGACAGACTTCCAAAAGGAACAATCGGAGAAGGAAGCAAAGCGTTCTGGGCTAAGAACAGCATGTGCAAAGGCCCTGTGGCAGGCCAGGAGGAGGCCAGTTTGCAGTTGGAGGGGGAGACCAAGAAATTAAAGGGACAGTGATGAGTCGGTCAACAGGAACGTAAGTCCTCTCAGGGCAATGGGAGGCCACCGAAAGGATTTTAGGTGGAATAAAGTATTTGGCACAGAACTCTGTAATTAAGGACCAATGCATTGCTGTTGTTGTTAATGTAATAATAATAATACTATCATCCATGGTATTATGTATACTCCTGTTATTGAAGGAGGCAGAATGACAGGTCAGAATGGCAGCACAGCCTAGTGGCGACAGGCCAGAGGTCACCCTCCTGCCCCATCACTTCCTGGCTTTGTTCCTCATCTGTAAAGTAGGGATAAGTACAGTGCCTACATCCTAGGGTAGGCATAAGGTTCAAATAAGTTAATACATGTGAAACGTGTTATGTGGTGCTCAACTTATATATGTGTTCGGTAAACGTTAGCTATTATTAGTATGAATATTATTATTAAGTATTCAATAAGTGTTAACTACTTTTAGTAGTAGAGGTAGTAAGCACTCAATAAGTGTTAGCTAATACTGTGATTATTATTAAGACTCATCAATAGACATTGAAAAACAACTTTAGATCTATAGCCCTTAGATTGTTGACTTGAACTCCTTTTTACAGATGGGGAAACTGAGGCCCAGAGGAAAAAAAAGACTTCCCCAAGGGCAGTCAACTACTAGCAGGAGTATGATAATCCAGTTTTCTTGAGTCCCACCACTGGCCCCTGTCCCTCTTCCTCTCCAGAGGAAGAAAGTACCTCCCCACCTCCGCCCACAAATGCTCGGCTGGTTGGGCCCCTGATCTAAACCAGGAGAACGCTGCTAATACTCGTTAACAGACGACTCGAACGCCCTGGCCGTTACGCAGAGGCGTAATTCATTTGACTGAGTAAAAGATTCTAATGTCCACTGGAAATAAAACTTCATGAAGAGTCACTTTGAGAGAAAAAATCCAGGATGAGCCATTCATCTGCTTTAAGAAAAATACGAATGGCAAAGGTGAAACTTCATTCAAAAATATAATATAGTAAAAAGATGCTCCGGTTCTATATAACAGCGAAGCCGCTGGCTCTACCCGAGAGGTCTGCCTCCTGCATCTTTCCCCTTGCCGTTCTCTAGGCCTTTTCCCAGACATGCTCTTACAGAATATTGATAATATATAGGATTGTTTTCTCTCTGTCGCCTCTGTCTTCCCCCCATTTCTCTTTCATCGCTTCCCGTCCAGTTTCCTCCAGCTTTTAAATGTCCCCCTCTCCGTAAGCTTTTACTGGCTCACCCCAGTGAGAAGTGAACAGAAACACATTCCATTTCATATCATTCAATACTCACTGGCCTCAGATCCCCCACACCAGGCATCTGAGCCCTGGGCAGCCAACGTGAGGATGGAGCTTTCCCTGACCCCCGGTAAAAACCGAGATTGCGGGTGTCCACCACTCCCCCTAGTAGCCAGGTTGTGGGGGTGGGGCCTCTGCCAAGACCTGCACCCCCACAAGTAACATCGGCCCTTTGCACCTTAGTTCCACCTGCTCCCATCACCATGACAACCCACTCCCCAAAAGGAGCAAAAAGAAAGATGCTGGACTTCTGAGCCTCACAGTTTATCTTGCATGACGGGGAGAGAGTGCTTCATCCTTTAACGCCCTGATTCTTCCATGCACCCCAAGTTGTCTCTCACACCATTTTCTTTACTGAGTGGCGTCGTAAATTAAAATTTCTAGGAACAGGGTCTAGCTCAGTCCTTTCCCAGCTGGGTAACACTGGAAAAATGCCTTTGCCTCTCTGGGCCTCAGTTTCCTCATCTCAAAAATGGGCCTGATCCTAATACCACCTCCAGTGGTGTTTGCTGTGGGGATTAAATGAGTTAATAGGTGTAGGTTCTCAGGACAGCAGGGGTACAGGGAAGCAGGACTGTCTTCTGGGTCTAGTGGCCTGAGCTTGCCCCAGGTGAGGTGTGCACAGCTCTTGGCAGAGGGATGCGGAAGCAATTACCCGGGAGAAGGATGCGGTGCAGGACAGGCATTATGCAACCAACTGCCTATTCAGGGCAGATGATGGCAAATCCCCAAGAGGGAAGGGGGAAGGGGCCTGACTTCAGAGTTTTCTGCCCCTTTTAGGTTCTCCTTGGAGACATATGGAAATAAAACCAGGAGGTTGATATTAGGCCTCTGCTGGCTGAGCTTGTTAAAACTCAGTGACACACAGAGCCAACAGAGGAAGCAAAATCAAGACAAAACAAAGGCCCCCTTTCCATCTGAACGGGGGGCTTCTGGTCCCATGCATGCGCTGTCCATCAAAACGCTCACCATGGTCTCAACTGCTATGTTATTTAGTCCAGACTCTCTAGGTGGTGGCCAAAAAGTTTAGATTCTCTTTGAAAGGATAGCAGCTCAGCCTGCTTTTTGATAGGGATATATGTTTTTAAAAATATGTAAAAACAAGGGAATATTCCTGGCCTGATTTTCATCTGATGGACAACTCCTTAAAAAGCACCGGCAGCGAGTTAGAATTAGGAACCCATTTGCAGGCTGTGCAAGAGACTGGGAAAATACCAGTTTCAAATTTATTTCATTGCATCCTCACTGTCGTAGCTGACAACACTGTCCAGCCACAGTGTTGGTTTCCCAGGGCTGCTGGCAGCCCCTGGGGTTCGGTATTCTGGGCCCATGGACGCATCTCTCTGACCTCGGCCTCCATCCATCTTCACGGGGCCTTCTCCTCTGTGTCTCTTCTCTCCTCCTCTTCTCTCCTCTTCTCTTCTCAGGACACTTGTCATTGGATTTAGAGCCCACCCCAATCCAGGACACTCTCGTCTTAAGTTAATTACATCTGCAAAGACCCTTTTGGCAAATAAGGTCACATTCACAGGTTCCAAGTGGACATGTCTCTTGAGGGGCCACCATTCAGCTCACTACAGACCCCACCCCAAAATTCACATCCATTCCACATGCAAAATACATTCGACCCATCCCAATATCCCCAAAGGTCTTAAGCTGCTACAGCATCAGCTCAAAAATCCCAAATATCATCTAAGCTGGGAATGGGTGAAGCTCTGGGTATCACCCACTCAGAGGCAAAATTCCCCCCCATCTATGAACCTAGAAACTAGAAAACAAATTGTCTGCTTTTAAAATACAATGTTGGGACGGGCACAGGATAGACATTCTTATTCCAAAAGGGAGAAATTGGAAGGAATAGAGAGGGTCATTGGTCCCACTATGAACCTAGAAACTAGAAAACAAGTTGTCTGCTTTTAAAATACAATGTTGGGAAAGGCACAGGATAGACATTCGTATTCCAAAAAGGAGAAATTGGAAGGAATAGAGGGTTATTGGTCCCGAGCAAATTCTAAATCCATCAGGGAAAATTCCACCGGATTCCAAGGCCTGGGAATAATCCTCTAGCCCTCAGCTCATTCACACATCTGTGATTCTGTGAGGTTGCCTCACCCATACGGGGTAAGTCACTAAGTCACTGGTGGTTACAGAGCAAATCACCAGATCTTAACTTTCATCTCCAAGTTATAGGGAAGGTTCTGCTATTCTTGTGCCTAGTTTAAAGGTGAGACAGCTGAGGCTCAGAGAGATGCACCCAACTACAGAGAGTCACACAGTCAGTAAGTGGCATTGCTGAGACTCAAACCAGGTCAGTCTGTCTTTCAGGGTATCAATCCATGACACCTTAGCAAGAAATTCTCCTGGGCCTGCCCTTTTCCTGTATGGCCTCAGAGAGACAAGTCTGAAAATAAATGACCTCATCTCTCCTCTGCTTGCTTACGCGAGTCATGGAGTTTTGTGAGTTAAAATGCAAAACATAAAATGAGAAAGATGGTGCTGGTGGCTTAGCCAGTGGGAAGCCCCCCAGGGAAGGCCAGCATTTTTTATTTTTAAGCATTAGGTAGATGGAGGCTTACAGATTGGGCCTGGGGAACCAAGCCTGTGCTGTGCAGGGGCTTCGGGTCCAGCGACCACATCGAATCTCCTAGGCGTTCAGTGAATGGGTAGAACCTGAGTGCTGTGCTTCACTCACTTCTGCTCTCTTGAGTGAGTGTATGTGACGGCAGTTGACAAAACCATTTTCTCGTGTGACTCAGCTGCTCCGGGCCACGGTTTCCTCATCTGTATGAGTAGTCATGATCCCAGCCTGATGAGATTGTTCGAGAAGTTAATGAGTTGAGATAGAACAGAGGTTGGCCCTCGCTCAGCCATTATGGGGCCAAGGATTCCCACACCTGCCAGCTGTGGGCCAAGCCTTCTGGGAAGTCTCAAATTGCTCCATGAGAGAGATGCAGTGTCATGTGGAAGTTAGCAGTATGGTTGCTGGAGCCATGTTGTCTGGGCTCCAAGCCGGCTCTGCCACCAACTGGCTGTGTGGCCTTGGGCAAGGCCCTTTCTGTCTCTGGGCCTCAGTTTCCTCATCTGTAAGATAGGAATTCTAGTACTGTTCACTTTTCATGGCTATTCTGAAGATTAGATGAGCTGAGATGTATAAAGTCTGGCACACAGCAAGGACTCAATAAGTGTGACCTGCAGTGAGGACATATGGAGGGCACAGGTCGCAGAAACATGGGTTGCCTGAGAGAGAAGTCTTGGACAGCAAAGTCCTCTGGAGAGAGGGATTGAGATTATAACAACAGAGAGCCTTTGTTTCTGAGAAACAGACTTTGGTGGGGCCAGTTCCCCAGGCTTGGGGAAGATGGGGCGCCTTACCCGAGTGTTCAGAAGAGATGCGTGAAGGCAAGCAGATCACACGTGGGGGCGAGCCCTCAGGGAGGTGGCTGGGGAGCCAGTTCTGCCAGATCATGCGTAGGCGAGCAGAGCAGGGCCGGCAAGGGCAGGCATCGGTGAGCAGGGCCCGTGGCCTGTGAGGCACCAGACGGGCCCCAGACCCCCAGCCACCATCACCCGGGCCACAGCTCCTCATGGTCTCTGCCAGGCTGGGGGTGGGTGTGCAGATGGGAGGAGGCACGGCTTGAAGGGAGGTCTGGGCCTGTGGGATTCTGAGCCTTGGTGTCCTCATTTGAGAAATGGGGACATTCATTTATCACCTGTCAAGAAGCGATCGAGCATCTGCCACGTGTAGGCCCTGTTCTTGGCACAGATACCACAGCTGTGAACAAGAAAGACAAAAGTAAACCCTTTGCCTCATGGAGTCATTGTCCCAGTGGGCACCAAGGTAGAAAAAGCTCAGTGAGGACCCGTAATGTTTTTCTCTCCCTCTCCAAATGCACCGAGCACCATTTTCTGACTCCTCTCATGTCCGTCTGCATGGTGTTAATTACTTGAGTAATTGAGGCGTCAAACTCTCGCCTACCTCATCTCCCCAACTCTCCACCTCCAGCCACACTGGCCTCCTGAAACTCAGCAAGCGTGTCCCTACCTCAGGGCCTTTGCATTGGCTGTTCCATCCTCCTCAAATGCTTTACCCAACGCAAATACGCTTGTATTCCTGAGAAATTATCTCATTCATTTACCAACTGTGTTGCTTTGGGCAGGAGACTTAACCTCTCTGAACTTCCTTTTTCCCATCTGTAAAATGGTGCTAGGAATTGCCCCTCTTAGGGCTGAGGGTTAAGGGGTTATTATAAGTCAAGTGCTTAGAACAGCACCTGGAAGTTTGTGTCAGGAAGTATCTGCTGTGGTTATTTCTATTGTTATTTGGTGATGTATTTACATGCGCATACTGCCTTCTTCCCCTGGCTGGAATGTTGGGAGGAGATATACACACTCCAGGCTTATAAAGTCGGGAGGCAGCCCCGCCCCTCGTCTGCTTTAGCCACTCCTGGAATCACTGTGTGCCCAGTACTTTCTGGGAGTTAATGGGGGACATGTAGGCAGGTCTGGAAGGTTCGGATTGAGTGGATGCAGGCTCTGGCAGAAAGATTTTTTCTCCTCTGATTTCTGGCCCCTGAGGAAACAGCCCTCCTGCCAGGAGAAGGTGCTGAAGCCTGAGAGGGTGGGCGGTCACACTCACATGTGGGACACAGCCTCTCGATGTCTGAGTGGGACCCTTGAACGGTGATGTCCTGGGCAGGACCCAGATGTGTTCTCTCTGCGATTCTCAGCTCTGGGTTCTTTTTCATCGGCCTTCCTTCCACAGAGAAAACCAGGGCTCCGGGGTCCCTGTGTCGGGCCCCAACCTGTCGACCACCCGGCCGATCCAGCAAGATCTGGGCCGCCAAGACCCACCGCTGGCCGAGGACATCGACAACATGAAGAACAACAAGCTGGCCACCGCCGAGTCGGCCAGTCCCCACGACAGTCTCGGCCACTCTGGCCTGGCCCAGAGCCCAGCCAAGATGGGGAACAGCACCCACCCCGGCCCCGCGCCGGCCCCACCTGCCACGGCCACCAATCCCCAGAACACCACCAGCCGCCGCATGCCCAACAACCCGGGGAACCCGTCCAACCCCGGCCCCCCGAAGACCCCCGAGAACAGCCTTATCGTCACCAACCCCAGCAGCACCCAGACCAACTCAGCTAAGACTGCCAGGAAACCCGACCACACCACGGTGGACATCCCCCCAGCCTGCCCGGCTCCCCTCAACCACACCGTTGTCCAAGGTGAGACCCCACCCTCGCACGTTGCAGGTGGGGACCCGGCGTGCCTGGGCTCGAACCCCGGAGGCTCAGCTGGGTAACCCTGGACAGTGAGTGACCCCACCTCCCTGGCCTCCATTTCTTACTCTGGAAAGTGGGTATGGATGTCATTCCTGCCCCACAGGGCTGTTGGGAGCACTGCGAGACGAGACGCGTGCAGTGGCTGGCCCGCACGTGCGCAGGAGGGTTAGCGGTGCGCCCTGCGCCCCACATTCCCACAGGGCAGCCAGCAAGTCACCACATCTGAGGAGTAGTGGATTCTTCCGATGGAAATTTGGGGGATTCAGATGATTCTTTAAGCCAGCACTTTCTAAAAGAAATGTGACTCGGGTCACATATGTAATTTTCGACTTTCTAGTAGCCATATTAAAAGACAGAAAGAAAGAAAGGAGGGGGGAGGGGAAGGAGGAAGAAAATAAAAGTAGGTGAAATGAACTTTAATAATAAATTACGTTTAACCCAAAATGTTATTTATGTCCAAGATGGGACCGTTTCACCATGTAATCAATACCGTAACGTTCGTTGACAAGCCGCTGGGCATTCTTTTTCTCCCACTCAGTCGTCAGCATCTGTGTGTGTTCTGCACTTAGAGCGAGCACATCCCCCTTGGGACGAGCCGCGGTTGAGTGTTGCACAGTGAAGGCCTAGGCCCCTGAGGGACTGGCAGTTCCAACCCCCCACCCCTGACCCCCCACTGAAGATTAGGACCAGAGCAGCTCGGAATTTAGGGATGGCCCAGTGAGCCTGCTGTTTTCAGGCTACAGCAGTAGCCTGATTCCTCCAGGGTCAGTTCTGTGCAAGTTTCCTGAGTTTGCTCCGTAAACGCTCGCCACAGCCCTACCAGGCGGATCTTGCTGTTGTGCCCATTTTACAGATGGAAAAACTGAGGCTCAGAGAGTCTCGGCCTGCCCGTGGACACGTAGCCAGCCCAGGATGCAGAATCAGTGCTTGGGAGGGTGGTGGCCCCTCGCCCTGGCCAAGAGAGGGACGTTAATTGGGGAAACCCTGCGGTTCACTGGGAGGTGAGCTCAGTATCCCCACCTGTAAAGTGAGGCTCTTGGGACTCACCCTGCCTGCCTCTAAGTGACAGTACGAAAGTCATCATGACATGGGGGCAGGTCTGTGTCAATGTCCTGTGAGGGTCCCACCCAACTCAAAGCTGTAGAGTGGTTGAGAGCAAGGCACTCTGGGGCCAGGCTGCCCAGCTTCAAACCCCAGCTCTGCCATGTCTCAGCTGTGTGACCGTAGGCAAGTCACTCCACCTCTCTGTGTCTCAGTTTTCACATATGTAAAATGGGGATCATAAAGTACCAACGTCATAGGGTCATGTGAGGATTAAACGGCATAACATGGTGCCTGGCACACAGTACACACTTTTCCACTGTTAGCTGTTTATTGCCTGCTCTGGGGAGCAGACAGGAGCCTAGAGGCTTGTGGGAAATCGTGGCGGGAGCCCTGTGTTGGTTCTTGTCCCAACAGTGAACAAAAACGCCAACCCAGACCCACTGCCAAAAAAGGAGGAAGAGAAGAAGGAGGAGGAGGAAGATGACCCCGGGGAAGACGGCCCCAAGCCCATGCCCCCCTACAGTTCCATGTTTATCCTCTCCACAACCAACCCGTGAGTATGACCCGCAGCTGGGGCGGCGCAGTCAGGCCAGGGAGCAGACGCAGACCCCGGGCGATGGGGGAGAGGAGCCCCCAAGGCCTCCCTTAGTCCACAGGGGACCTTCGAACCAATTTTAAAACGAAGCCCTTTTCTTAACTCGCATGAGATAGAAATTTGTCATAAAGTACTGATTTTGTTGGAGAAGAGCCCCTCCTGCCATCAGCTAGAAAATCATTGTCACAAATATCCAAATCGACACCTGTCAGCGGTGTGAGAAGCGCACCTTAGAAACGGCCGCCCGTACGGCCATGCGTGGCAGCCCTGGTCCCCGAGCTTTGCTCCTAAGGGTTTGGGTTCTGGGCAGATGGCCTCTGAGTCCCGTGGCCCTCTGTCTCAGGCATCCTCGAGGAGGATGGATTGTTTAAGAGAGCAATTTATCACATGTATGTCAGCGTTGTTTTACATTTTTCCAAAGGGTATTTCTTAAAACTCTGGTCCCTCAAAATGCTTCTCGACAGAGGAGAATCGTGTCGAATAAGCTGGAGGGTAACTACGTTCTATCGTTTGCCTCTCAGGGACTTACCCTGTGTGTTTACTTTTTTATTTAGCTGACGTTATCTATTTCACTAGAGAGATACTTACGTGGCTCTTACTCTGTGTCAGGCACAGTTCTGAGTGCTTTACAAATTTTTTAAAATTTTCATAATAATCCTATGAGATTGGTACTGTGCTTATCCCCACTTGACAAATGAAGAAACTGAGGCCCAGAGAGGTGAAGTCACCTGCACAAAGACACACAGCAAATGAATGGGGGAGCCCAGAGACAGACTGACTCCAGCGTCCCCATTCTTAACCACTCAGGCCTGCTGCCGTTCTTATACCCTTGTGACATATTTCTTATTATTAGCTCCACTTAAAGCTTAAGTATTATTTCACTAGCATATTAAAGGTTCCGATAAGGCCTACAATTCATAATTTAAGTAACAAATGTTTTGGGACCCCTACCATGCACCGGGCACATACTGACATTCTTGTGAGTCATGCCCATTTCATGGCCACATAGAGCACTGAGGCACAATGGGGATAAGTAACTTGCCTAAGATCACTCAGCTAATTTAAAAAAATAATCAGTCGACTTTCCCAGTTCTCTTTGACCCTAGAACATTTTATGCCTGAAAAACTTTTTCCTCTCCTACAGAATCAAGGACAGTATTTCTTCAACCCAGCCTAGAGCTCAGATGTTCCAAGAGGGTATTTGGGAATGATAAGAACTTATAAAGAGAGCGTGTGGATATCTTTCCTTGCTGAGGGTCCCCCTGCCTTCTTGGCTTTCCAGGACCCCGAGAGAGCCCCCAGATGTAGGAGCTTGATAGTTTATCGGGTGTGGGACTTTGGGAGTGACAGATCTCAGGTAGTGGTAGGAGGTCAAGGACATGACAGAAGGAAAGGACTTGCGAGCCCATGGTCTGAGTGGACCTCTGCACGTCCAACAGCCTTCGCCGCCTGTGCCACTACATCCTGAACCTGCGCTACTTTGAGATGTGCATCCTCATGGTCATTGCCATGAGCAGCATCGCCCTGGCAGCCGAGGACCCCGTGCAGCCTAATGCACCCCGGAACAACGTGAGTCCTACCCGTCGTCTCCTTCCTGGCCCAGCTCCTCTGTCTCAGGCCACTTCCTCCTGCATCCAGAAGCTCATAGCTAGGGCGGAAGGGAGGCTCCAGTTCTCCGGGGATGCTCTGGAAAGCGGGATATTTCTTGAGGAGGCTGTGGCCCTGTGCGCCCAGCGGGGCTTCGGGAGCCCAGCGTAGCTGGGGCTGGAAACCGCTGGAGTTCCTGGTGGGAGGAGCGAGGCTGGTGGGGTGTGGGGCTGCATTTTTCTCTGCACGGAATGTGGGGGACACTCAGGCAGGGGGTGCGCCACAGGCAGTCCCTAGGCAGCCAGGTCGTACTAAGCAGATTCTTCCATCTTGACACGAAGCTTTGAAAAAAAAGGATTATTTGGATTCAGAAACACAGCCTAAATTTTTAGCTTTTTGAAGATCTGTAAAGCTCACCCTTTGAGGGTCCAGGGTCAGCAAACGGCCCTTATTAACTGAGCACTTGCTGAGTTCCAGGTGCCACCCCATGGCATTTGGCAAGCAAGCCCTCCCAGGTATCCCCATGGGACAGATGGGGAAACAGAATCAGGGAGGTTAAGTTGACTGGTCCAGGGTCACACAGCAGAATTCCAATTCGACTTCCCCTAGAGCTCCCGCTGCTTCCTTCAACCATCTCCATTTATTGAGCACCTACTGTATGCCTAGCCCCTCATGAAACTCACCAACCAGGAATGAATCGAGAGGGGAAAGTGAGGCACTGACAAGCGAGAGCGTGGCCCAGGCTGGACTGGCAGCGATGCCTCCTTCCCCAGCTCCTGTCCCCTTCACCCTCCTGCCAGTGCCATAGGTACATTTTCCACTGGGAGCGAGGCCTTGTTACCCTCATAAGTAGGTTAGGAGCCTGGCAAGGCTGGAGGGCCACATAAGCCAAGACCGCCTCCGGCAGCTTACCTTGCATTTTCTTTCCCTTCTCAGGCCGTGCAGGCCCCCTGGGGACCCGACTTCGGGTTGGAAGGGGTGCAGGAGAAGCAAAATGGAAGGAAATAATTAGAACATGGCTCCTGGAGGAAACTAGCTCTGGGGCAGGGCTGAGGCTGCACTCTGTTCCCCTGGGGCTCTCAGGGACCCAGACCCAGGGAGGGGACATTTTCAGGGGGCTCAGCACAGCCCCTGCCGACTCCAGGAGACAGAAGGAGGCCCTGTCTCCAGCAGGAAGCGGGTGGGCATGCGGGCTCAGGGAGGCCCCTGCAGCTCCTGATGCTGTAGGAACCCAGGCAGGGTTCAGACCAGCCCCCCATGGAGCATTTTGCAAAGCTCTCTGCTTCATCTCCAAGTTCAAACTTCTCCCCTCAAAGCCCTCCCCTTCTCATCAGAAACACAGTGGACCTGTCCTGCCAGCTGATGCCCAGCAACCCCTCCCCAAGTTCTTTCTATTAGTGCAACTAGAACAGGCTTCAGAAAAGTGCCTATAACATGTAGGATCCGTTTATCAAGGATTTTAAAGTGCACACACCCTTATATAACCACCTCCCCAGGCCGGAATCAGGCCAGAATCACCCGTGGCCACTGGCACCGTCTCGATCCCCCTTCTCCTTCCGTCTGGACGGAGGTTCAAAATTGAGACAACATCTGGAGACATGTTTGATTGTTGCAAGTTGGGGCGGGTGGAGGCGCCACTGGCATCGAGTAGCTGGAGGCCCTGGACACTGCTCATGGCCTTACGGTGCCCAGGGCAGCCCCCCACAGTGAGGGACCCAACCCTTAAAGTCAACGGTGCCGAGCTTGAAAACTCCCACCCTCCAGGTAACCATGACCCGGCTTCTGGAAGGAGCACATTTAGCGTCTCCGGTTTCCCCACCTGCACATGCATCCCCAAACACTAGAGTTTAGGGTTGCCCGTTTCGACCGCTGAACAGATGGAATCATTCTGTGCCTCGTTTCTGTCACCCAGCATTGTGTCCGCTGTGGACGAGCACGTATGGTTGTGGATCATGGCAGTCACACTTTTTCATCGTTGAATGTTCCGCCATGTGGCACGAGTTGTTATCCATCTTCTCGTTGACGGGTATTTGGGGGCTCTCCACCTTGGAACGCTGTCACCACACCCCCCACTCCCACCTGTCCCGGGGCGCCTGAGCATGGCTTTCCAAGGTGTAAAACCAGAAATGCAATTCTTCAGTCACAGAATTTTTACCAGTCGGACTCAGGAGATGGGGCCAGATGCTCACGAGACGCCGCAGTGACAGTCGCAATGGCCGGGTAGGGATCTCCCCCTGCTCCACAGTCTTGTTAACACTTGGTGCTGGCGGCTTCTTCACTTGGCCGACCTGGTGGGCATGGAGTGAAATCTCCTGGGGACTTCGATTAGCATTTCCCTGGGATGAACGATACTGAGAACTTTTTGGATTAGAGTGACCCACGGAAAATTGCCATTTATATAGGTCTAAAGGATCATGACCATTAGATATGGTTCAATCTGATTTATTAGACTTTTGATTTCCTCTTGCTCAACTTCTTTGGCTCTCCAGAATCTGATTCACCTGACCCCTGGCCTGCCTTTCTCTCACACCTTTCTTCCTTCTTCTCTTCCTTCCATTCATTGCTTTATTTAATAGTTATGTAATGAGCAACTACTGTGTGCCAGGCACTGAGCTAAACATCAAGAATTGATAGAGTATGAGACAATCTCTGCCTTCGCAGAGCTCAGAGGGCCAGGCCTGTGGCCATTCCGTGCCCTTCGCCCAGCGCACCTAAGTGGCCTCCCTCTACCATCCCCTCTGCCTACCCAGATCCTTCTAGCCCCTTGCGCCCACCACCCCATTCCAGGAAGTCAGCCCCTGGCCACAGTGGTCCATGATGGCCCTTCAAGCGCCACACATAACCGGAATGCGAGCCAGCTCCTGCAGGACCCAGTACAGTTTCAGCTATTCATGCATGCATTTAGCAAACACTTATTGAGCACCTACTGTATGCCTGGCCGTGTATTATAAACTGGAAGCTGCCGCAGGGACAGGCAAACACCCCTGCCCTCAAGGGTCTGACATTTGGGTAGGGAAGACGGACAATGAGATTATTAATAACTGTAATGGGGTTTGTCAGGAAGTGATAAGTGTGTTGGGGTGACTAGGTGAGGAAGATCACAAGTGCCAGGAAGTGGCATTTTAAACAGGCAATCGGGGGGGGCCTCACTGAGAAAGTGATATTTGAACCAAGCCATAAAGGAGGAAAGGGAGAGAATCAAGATGGGGCTTGGGGAAGAGCATTCCAGGCAGAGGAAACAGCCTATGCAAAGGCCCTGAGGTGAGGACATTCAGGGTGGCAGGAGCAGAGTGAGCTAGAGGGAGACCGGGAGGAGGTGAGGGCAGGGAGGTGACCAGGCAGAGATCATGCAGGGCCTTAGGGAGGACTCGGAGCCACAGTGGGTTCTGAGCTGAGAAGGGCCCTGGCCTAACTCAGGTGCTCACGGACGCCCTCTGGTGGTGGTGCTCAGTAACTATCAGCCCTTATTTCAACACAAATCTGATGGAGTCTCTCCTGGGGCTTACCACATCCTGGGCACTGTGCCAGCACAGTCACATCCTCACACCAGTGTCGCACCACAGATGTGCTGTGGTGTGGCCTGGGGAAGAGCCAGGCTGCAGGACATTGTTCATCCATGCAGAAACCACTCGGCCTTGGCAAATAAAAAAGGTACCCTTCCTGTTGGTAAGCAAACCAGCCTAATAGAATGATTTTGTTAGGATTTTGCTGCCATCTGCTGGACAGTTCCATTCACAACGTACAAATCTACACTGAGATGGGAGGGGCCCTTGTGCAGTACACATCCTGCCCAACCATACACGGCAGCCGTGTGCTTCCTCTGGGTGGAGACTCTGCTCTTTGGGGACTTTGCTGGAGGTCGCACACCCCAGCGGGCCATCGCTAGGTTCACAGGGGTTCTTCTGGAGCAAGCCAATGACCCCCTGCTCCCTCGCTTTTATCCTCTGCAGGTCCTACGATATTTTGACTACGTTTTCACAGGTGTCTTTACCTTTGAGATGGTGATCAAGGTGAGTGCCAGCACCCTCAGGGATTCTGCACCCTCATGAATGGCACCCTGCCGCAGGAGGCTAGCCGCAGGGATTAGAAATGCTTGGTGTGTTTGAAGAGCAGCGAGGAGGCCAGTGTGATCGGAAGGACTGAACAAGGAGAGTGGAGAAAGCCAGGGCAGGGAGGTGACACGGAGGTCATGCAGGCGTTTGGCGGCCTCAGGAAGGACTTTGGCTTTTACCCCAGGTGAGGTGGGAGCCATAGAGGGTTCAGAGCAGAGGAGGGAGTGACTGGGGTCAGGTGCTCACAGGCGCCGCTGGCCCAGGCAGGTGATGATGGGAGTGAGACCAGGGTGGTGGCGGAGAAGGTGGCATGAAGCGGGCAGATTCTTGGAAGGCGTGGAAGGCAGAACCAAGAAGGATTGCTAGTGGATCCAATGTGAGGTGTAAGGCAAAGGGGAGTCAGGGGGGACCCCAAGGTTTGGGCCTAAAAACCAGCAGGTCGTGAGGTGGAGAGGGGCCACCTGTCTTCGGGTGGGGGCTCCTCACTCCTCCCTGGGTCCCCTGGCGGCTCTCCGATCCCTGCGGGATGAGGTATCCCATCAATGATCCTGCCCCCTCCGAACGCCCCTCCCCCGGAGACTGGAGGGTGGGGACGAGGTTGCCGAGCATCGTCTCTTCTCTCCTCACAGATGATCGACCTGGGGCTCGTCCTGCACCAGGGCGCCTACTTCCGTGACCTCTGGAACATTCTCGACTTCATAGTGGTCAGTGGGGCCTTGGTAGCCTTTGCCTTCACGTAAGTCTCTTCTCAAGTCCTCCACCTGCGCCTTCAGTTCCGTTCACCAGCCTGGGGCCACCCGTTGGATTGGGGGACATGTTCTCAGCGTGTAGAGATGGGGAGCGTGGGCCCTGGGGGGGGGCGGGAGGCATCGCATGCCACCAGGAAGAGCTTCGATTGGCTTTTGCATGACGTCCACCCTTGAGGAGGAAGGAGAAGGACCCCGCCTTCTGCCTCCTCACCGCCGCTCACGGCCCCTCGCGCTGCCGCTTGCCGTAGCGTCGCTCTGCCGGGACATCTCATCTTCCTTCTGCTCTGTAAACTCCACCCAGACCACTGTCTCTTTGGGGAGCCCCTAAAAAGACAATCAGGAAACGAATGCGCATGAGAATTCAGCCCCAGCCTGTGCCCGAAGGTGCCGTAGTTGTAGACATGGTGACTCCCCTTGTGTCTTTCCCTTCTCCTGGTAATCCTAGGACACGTGGCCTGATGGAAAGCCAAGCACCCTCAGGCCACTCCAGGGCGGCTCCCAAGGGCTGAGCGGCCATCAGCTCGTGGGGCCCTGGTGGAGGACTTAGCAGTACCTTGCTCAGATTGTCAGCATTTGGGTCAGAATGGAAGGAGCCTTATCAGCCTCTGATCTAGAAACAGACCTTCTTGGGGACCCTGTCGGTGCCAGTTGCAGTGGCTCATCCCCAGAAAGGACAGTCTCAGAGGGACTCTGAGCGCCTCACCCCCAGAGTGAGAAGTCAGGGCCTTCCTCCATGCCCCTGCCTCCCGGCTCCCTTCTCAGAGGATCTGCAGGGGTCCTTGAGCGCCCACCCCCCACCAGACAGCTGGGGCTTGGTTTGTCGTGAAGGCCAGAGTGATGGCTCGTATCCATTTTAAGGACTAAATCTCAGGTTCTTCCTGGGGACACAGGAAGATCAAGTCGTGTTCAAAGAGTGAGAAGCCTCCAGAGTTTGGGGTGAGCCCTGAGGATCCGGGGGCTGGTTGTGTTTCGGACTCTGGCCAGACTTCCCCGCCCCTCGGCCTTTTTTTATTTTCTACTTTCTCCCCCTCTTTCTGTTTCTGCTCCTTTTTTTCTACACTCTCTCTCTCTCCTTCTCTCTTTCTTCCTCTCTCCCTCCTTCCTCCCTCCTCCCTTTCCTTCCTCTTAAGTAATTGAGCATTGGAGTATTAGAGCAGTAGAAGAGATTATGAAAAAATAGCAAGGACTTTGGCTATATTTAAGGTGTTCTGTAGGCGAAAGTAATAATAACAATAAAATAAAGTAAAATGCACATCACATGGGGGGGCGGTTCCCACAGGTAAGACAAGGAGTCGATGGCTTTGTATAGAGAAAGAAACTACAAATCAGTAAGAAACACTAACTCTAAATAGGTCAGTGGACAAAGGATTTAAACAAATTTCAGAGAATGCTGACAACTAATAAAAATGAGGGGAAAACATGCCACCTTCTTTGGAATTTGAGGAAATGTAACGTACAAACCAGGTACAAGTTGTTTCCCATCAAGTCGGTGCCGGTTTCTTCGAAGAAAGATTTTTCTCAGGGATGCGCAGCCCACGTGAGCACGGAGTGAGGCACAGCCCGCCCTCCGCCAGCTGTCTGAGCGTCTCGCGAGGCATCTCGCGAGGCCCCGAGAAAGTTTAAATTCTGAAAAATCTTCTCTCTCTCTCCCTTTCTGTCTCCCCGGCTCCCCCTCTGGCTCTTTCTTTTTCTTCGTTTCTCTCCCTCCCTCGCTCTCTCCCTGTCGGTTTCTCCCGTCTCCTTCGTGCTCCTCTTTTCCTCCGTTCTTTCCATTTTCTATCTTTTCTTTCTGTTTCTTGCTTTCTCTCTCTCAATGCGTCTCTCTCGCTCCCTTTTTTTCTCCCTCTCTCTCCGCCTTGCTTTCTATTCCTTTTGTTTATCACTTTCTATTTCTGTTTCTCTTTGCCCCTTGCACCCCACCCTGGTGCATGTGTATGTCGAATTTGGGGAAATTCTCAGTTATTATTATTTCAAATATTTCTCTGCTCCTTTCTCTCTTCTCCTTCTGGTATTTCCATTACACGCACATCACACCTTTTGTACCTGTACCACAGGTCTCTCTCTCTCTCTCTCTCTCTCTCTTTCAGTCTTTCTTCCTCTCCCTCCCCCACCCCCAGCCCATATCTTCTTTTGGTGATCTGAGCCTGACCATCTGCCTAACCCGAGTGTGGCCTGGACAAGGCAGACACTCCGCCATCTGCTCTGGCACCAGGAGACCTTGGTCTGACCAGGGGGTCTTCTTCGTGGCAAGGGAGGGCCAGCTCAAGCAGGCACCCTCTCACTTCCTCAAGCCCTCGATGATGACTGCCCCAAAGCTCTCGCGTCCTCCAGGTTCAGTGCGGGGGGCAGTGCAGGGGACCCTGTCAATCACATCCATTTATCCACACACAACTCCACTTTACCGGCTGTGCTCTGGGTGGTGGGTTTTGCCCTCTGCAGCCACCACTGGGTATGGCACAGTAGAAGTGGTGTCTGATCAGCTCACCCTTGGCACTTCCTCCCAGACCTCTGTGGAAGCTGATATGCTTCAGCTCTGAGGAGGGGGCCCCTCTGCTGCCCTGTCCCACCTCCAACCTCCAGTTTGGCCCTCACAATCTAGGGGAGGAGTGACCCTCCAGCAACCTGGGAACAGGCTTTTGCCATGACGGCTGTAGTTGGCAAATATGCTGTTTCTGGGCTCCCTGCAGCCATAATTAGGCTCTACTTTAAGCAAACTTAATCTACAAAAACAAAATTGTTGTTCCACTGAAAAATCAATCAGCAGAATGTTTCTTTGTGTTGCAAAAAAATCTGCCACAGGGAGCAGATTTTTTTTTTAATTTTTGAGTTTTCTTCTTCTATATAAAATTATACAAAGGCATTCAAAACGAGCCTGCCACTCAGAAATTTGGCAACCTACTTGTAGAGTCAACCTTTTAAACTGGTTTCACGAAGTTGCTACAGGCATAAAGGCAACCAGCCCATGACCTTGAAAAATCCTTAGATTTTTTTTTTTTTTTAATTCCTATGCAAGGAAAGGGTCTGGCCAGTTTTCAGGTCATCCTGTGAGCCTCAGTGGGCTCGTAGATCTCACAGGAACTGGGATATGCAAGATTTTGCCAATAGATCCTGACAAGTGCCAGGGACTTTCATGGGGTTTTGGAAAAGCCGATGACCCTGGAAGCACCCTTGTGTGGTGGGTGTGGGATGAGAGAGGTAGGCCCTGAGACGCCACCCATCACGCTCTCCTCACCTCATTGCCAAGAATCCCTCTGGTGCTGCCTCTTGTGACTCCTCCTCCAGGTCAGGGCTGCAGGCCTGGCACAGCTGGCCGAGCACCTTGATCCAGCCGCTCCTGCATGCCCACTGGGCCAGACTGCCAGAAAGCTAGAAAAGATTTCCTCAACCTGCTACTTTTTACCCCAAAACAACCTCAGAATCCTTCCCCTGGCTGCAGGTTTCTGGCCTCTTGCCCAAGAAGGCCTGTCCCCTGAGGGCTCTCCTTCCTGTCTTCTTTGTCATCGACCAGCCGGGTGTCACTTTGGCAGCAGTGGGGTGCATTCTGAGGATCTCGGTCTGAGTGCCCCACCCCAGAATCCTTTGCTTCTGCCCTTTCTGGTCTTTTAACTTGCTTTGTCTGTCCCACGGGCCCGTCCCACAGTCAAGGCTGAGAGCCCTGACGAGTGTCAGGTTAACGTTATTGTTTTAGGAAAAAAGGTTCCTGCAAGTCTGTATGGTTTCTCGATAGGTGAGCCAGTCCCTCAGCCTCTGTGCCTCAGTTCCCCGCTAAAATCGAGAGGCTCGACTTGGTAATAACGACCCTAATAGCCTCCATTTATGTCATCTTCTCTGCAGCGCCATGCGGGAAGTTCTTAGTGTTCCCATTTTGTAGATGGGGAAACTGAGGCCTAGAGGCAAATGGGTCCAGCAAGATGACTGAGTTGGGTTCTGCTGCCAGATTCGGGGTTGCTGCCCACCTCCCGGGCCCAGTCGTGAAGGCTTTCAGAAGTTGGCACTGTGAGACTTGGCAGCCCAGCCCGCCTGGCTTCCCGAAGGCCCAGGCGAGGCCTGGAAATCCAGGGGAAGAGGGCATGAGGCCGGCCCCTGCCCCTGCCTTGTTGAAAGAAATCTTGCTGTTCCAGCCTTTGGGGCCGGAAGCAAGGATTCTGCTGCAGTGCTGTGATTGTGGCCCCGTCTTGGATACGAGCAAACAATCCCTGTGGTCCCCCAAGGGATGTGTCGAAGCTCTGCCCACGGTTCCCACCCCTGCTGCACCTGCCCAAATATCTGTGCGTGTGTGTCCTGCTCCATTCACTGACCGTGTGCCCTCTCCGTGTGACCACCATTAACATACCATCTCATGAGCCATCACACATGATGTCACGCTCTGTGCCCATGCATCGGGGCGGCCAGATGACATTTCTCAGCAGCTGGCGGATCGTGATCCTGCCCTCACTGCCAAGAGTGCGTCTGGTGCTGCCACTCCTTCCTCGAGGCAGGCCGGCACAGCTGGCGGAGCGCCTTGATCCAGCCGCTCCTGCGTGCCCAGGACTGAACTGCCGGGAAGCCAAAGAAGGAGCCCTCAGGCTGCCACTATTTTTATCCCCATCTTCAAAACAGCCCCTGCCCCTGAAGGCATTATTTTTCTTGTGTGTGACGAAACGGAAAGATGAGAATGCAAGATCCGCGAACCTGGGTTTAAATCTCAGCTGCCGCTTCCCTCCTGGGTGACCTGGGGCAAGTCACTTTCCCTCTCTGGGCATCCGCTTCCTCATCTGGAAAAGGGGCATAATGGTGTCACCTTCCCACAGATGGACACAGGGACATTCAGAAGAGTTATTTACACATTACACCTGACGTCAGCAGATTAGGCAGAAATCATTCAGCGATTCCGCGACGGTCCGTAAAGGAGAATCCACACGATTCTGTGTGCGCTGTAATTCCTAGCTTCTGTCGAGCTTCGAGAACGACTGAGCTACAGGAAAAAGGAAAGATAGCACTAACTTCAAAAGGGGCGATGGGCGGAAAATTCCGTAGGGGAGCCGCTTGGCAGCGGGGCTGCCCCAGTCTGCTGGCGGTCGAGTTCTCGCACCTGAATCCCAGGCATGGGTGGAGGGCTGCAACGAGACCAAGCCTGCTGAGCTGTGCAGGGCGCCCACGTTTCCTCAGGGGACTCTTGAGAGTTCCCCCTTTATTTCACCCCGGGTTGGGACTCCTTGCCAACCCCTCATTCATAACTTAGGGCATAAAGCCAAGGACATAGCTACTGTTCATTGACCTCAGAGTCCCATAGCCCTGTTTTATGGATGAGGATGATCGTTAGAGGCAGACCGGGGATTCAAACCCAGGCTTCCCAGCTCCAAAGCTCTTAACGTCAAAAACATTTTACAATCTTCCGGCATGAGAACCTCTGGAGAAAAGGGGTTTCTCCAGCTCTTGGCAGTGACCTTCAGTGGCAAGTTCGCCTTTAGTAGTAATTGATGTCCTTCTGGCTGTCCTGCTACTTGGAAATTTGGCTTCCTGGGTGCTGTCGTGCAGTGCCGGGGGCCTGCCAAGAGCAGGGGACTGAGCGGGGGACATCCAGATGGAAGGATGGACCTCAACCAGAGCCGTGAGCCTGAGGCTGCCCCTCCTGGTGCCCAGGCAAGGCGGGGGATGCTCAGGTGTGCGTGCGTGTACGTGCGTGTTCTGTGTTCTCTCTTCTGAGGCCGCTTACGATCTGTCTCTCCTCCGACGCCACATCTCCAGGAGCAGTACACGGTAAAGTCTCTCGCTCGCTCTCTCTCTCTCTCTCTCTCTCTCCCTCTCCCGTCTGTCTCATTCTCTGTGCCCTGGTGCAGCCTCGTTGGTTCTGGGCCTGTTTCTGTGGCCTTGTGTCCTTGCTACCGTCCTGTCGCTTGCAGTGACCAGAGCCCCTCTCAGCCTGCTCTCCAGGGAAGAGGAACCCTAAGGGGTCTTAGCCACTGCCCCCCACCATTAGCCCAGTTCTTGGCAAAGAACAGAAAAGGGGAGCAAGGCCTCCCTGGGGTCTAGTTCTGATATGGCAGTTGCCCCAGGGAGTAGTTACCAGGGGAACAAGTATCCACCTCCCAGATGGGAGAAGAGCCGCCCCCGCCCCCAGCCGCCCCGAGGAGTGTCTACACTCTCTGAAAAGTGGTTCCGAAATCTGGCTGTTTTCTAGAAGAGCACTTTGATCAAGCTAGTTCTGCGTGCCCAGCAGCCAGACTGTGGGGAACGCTCCCCTGGATGCCTCGGCAGGCAGGATTGTTTCTCAGCCTCTCCAGGGAGCAAAGTGCCTCCCGGAAGAGACTCCACACTGGCCAATGGAGTCATTTTCAGATGAGTGGACATGCCTCAGGAAGTGCATTCCCAAATGTCAGCCGTTCAGCGCATCAGGATTTTTTCGCTGGTCCCACACGTAACCTAGACGTCCACCTGCTTGATATTTTTTCCTCCAGCACATAGTCTAAACTTTATTTTAGTTTTGCTAAGAAACTTTATATCATCCTCTTACAACCAGTATTGTTAACCTCAGACAGAATTGCAAACTGCAAAAGTGATTCTCACTGCGATGAAACAGTTGCACTGTAAGTTACTCCATTCAAGCTGGGTTCTTTGTTTAAAAAGAAGTAAGTGAGCGTTGGGGGAGGTGTTAGGATCGATGAGCACAAACAGGAGACTTCCTGTCTAAGCGAAACAGAAGGCCAGAAAGGTACTCGAAGAAGGAATAACTTTCCCTGTGCAATCCAGTTATTTGTGTCCCCGTTCTACGTAAAATGATCTCAGTGACTCTCTAGATGTGCGTCTCATACTTTGGGGACACGGCCTTGAGATAATAATGATGACTTTGGTTTAAAAGAGAAAACAAATGTTCAGGCTACTGAATCCTGGGGCATAGCTGTGCCTGGCAGACTATCGTCCAGTTCTCATCTTTATTCCCTGAAAAATGAGAGGAGGGGATACCAAAAAAGCAAAAGGTGTAAAGAATGATGTTTTTGCACCTGGGTACCTAGACATAGGGGTCTCTGGGAAAGCTGTATCCAAGACCCAGGAGGTAATTATAGGAGGATGATTGCTAGGAGGACCCCCAAAACAAAAAACCTGATCTAGGGTTATTCATGTGTGTCCTAAGACCACATGCCAGGTTTATGATGGGTGCTGGGACAAGAATCAAGATTAAAGGAGAAATGAACACACAGAAAAATAAAACACAGGTTAAGCCTTTGAGTCTTTTGCCTAAAGCCAGAAGCAAAGACAGAAAAGAAGATGATTCTGAAACAGCGCTAAGGTCCGGCAGAACCCAGAGGCAGTCAGGGGAGGCTGTTGGGTGGAGAGGCATTTACGTTGACTTTCAGGGCTGCGTAGTGCAGGGCGGGTGTTGCTAGCAGCGGGGACAGCACGTACAAAAACAGACAGAGGCGAAGAGTGTGGCTGGGGCTTGGGGTGTGTAGCAGCTGATGGGAATGCAAAGGTTAAGGTAACTGGGCTAGATTTTGAAAAGGCTTGAATGCCATGCTAGAAGTTTGCACTTTTAGAAACCCAGATACTCCAGAGGATTCTGAGCAGGAGAAGGACGTGGTCATTGGCTTTGGCCACTGGGTGCAGAAAAGGTGGAAGAAGTGAAAGATGGGGGTGGGGGGAAAGTTGGGAGCTGGGCACTGGGGGTCCGACCCGAGATGGTGGCCGGGCACGGAGGGTGGAGATGTTTAGGAGGGTGGCCCTCTGGGGATGGGGATGGAGGACAGGCAGTTGACCATTCTGTTGGGCTTCTGCCTCGAGTGACTGGTTGGGTGGTGAGTACCGTTCATCACAAGCCTTTGGTGGCCCCACCCGATGCCCTTCTCTTGGGGGCCTGAATCTTGGTTGGCTAAGGGCGTCATGGCGTCCCCAGGGTCTACACTGCTCAGACTCACACCCAGTGGACCCTGGACTGTACCTCTGTGCAGCTGTCTGACACAGATGGGCACAGGGCCCCCGGAAGGATGAGGCAGTGGTTCAACATCAGCACCCAGTGTTTCGGTTCCTTCCAGTCCTGTGGGCTCAGAATACTGGGGAAGGGGTCTTGATTTAAGGGCCGCGTTTAAGTAGCTCTTGAATCCTGTTGGAAGGGCAACAAAAATCTTATTTTCTAAGAACCCACCAAGACCACCTCCAAAGAGAGCACTGAGAGCGGCCAGCCCCGCTGCGCTGGGTCTGAGGGCCACCCGAGGCAGCTGCTCAGGCCCAGCCAGGTGGCGGAGGGACCTCACAAGCCCTGAGACCAGAGCTGCAAACGGCCATCTGCTCACTGGCTCCCGAGCCCACACGTAGGCAGGAACCGGGCCACTCTTCCCCAGCACGGGCGGGGCTGTCCCAGGCTCACCCCAGACTCCTAGGCTTGGGAGGGTGGCGTCACGTGGCGCTGTGGGCACCCTCCACCCAGCCTGACCTCTGCTTCCTCTCTCCCCTTCTCCCCACCCTGACTCCCCTCCACAGTGGCAACAGCAAAGGAAAGGACATCAACACGATTAAATCCCTCCGAGTCCTCCGGGTGCTACGACCTCTTAAAACCATCAAGCGGTTGCCAAAGCTCAAGGTGAGTTTGGGGCATGTGGGAGGCCTGTCGGGGTTGCCGTGTACAGTTGAGCAGGTTGCACACTGCTCAAGGATACTACCCTGAAGGGGGCGCTGATAACATCGTAGCCGTTGATGTGGATCTATTTATAACTACAACTTTCCAGTAGATGGCAGTAAAGTGAATCGGTCTAACAAAATCTATATATTAGAATTTTCCATTAGATGAAATGTCTCCCTCAAGGTCAGAATCCCTTTTCCTAATTCACGGGAAGGCATCACATGGATAAAAGAAGGCGTGACCCGGATCTGGGAAGCAGAATACTAGGTTTCTGGTCCCACATAACCTTTGACTTTCCACCTACCTGTTCTAAGCCCCGATATCTCCTGTCCTAAGGTATCATGAACTAGCATTTCCCAAAAGATTATCATTCCAAAAAAAAAAAAAAGGAAGAAAGAAATGAAATGAACCAAGTCATTAGGGCACATCTTTTCAATTTATGTCCCACCCGAGGGGCACCTGCATTCTCTTTTACTTAATGTTCCTTTAAATCAAATCACTTTATTATTTTTTTTTTTACTTAAGTGGATTTATTTTAAAAGGAAATGCTATGTCCAGTTTCAGAACCCACTGTTAACAGAAGATAAAACTAAATACCCATTCGAAAAAATAAGATAATATTATTAAAATCTAGCTAAATATAGTCAGTTGCCCAACAGAGGCTTTGAGCATGGATGCTGCTCTTTCTCGGTGAAAAGGAAAAGAATCTATGTTAGGCGTTGACATAGTAGCAGCCAAGAAAGACTTTCTCCTTTGTTCGTGACCATGTGATTCAGTTCAGTGATACCTAGTGTTGGACTCCTGTAGGACCTAAAAGTATGTCTGATATCAGCAGGGGTGCCCCCTCCCTCCCGTGATTCCATGATTTTGGAAATATTGATACAAATTCCAAGACGCTGATGAATGTTTAAAAAAAAAAAAAAAAAGACGAAACATGGCTGCCCTTTGAATGTGAAAGCTCACTTGCATTGAAACACGTGGAGTTTCAGCAGTATTCATTTCAACGGTTCTGCACCATTTTCTGGGGCCCAGCTGCCTTTGAAAGCCCCGTGAAAGCTATGTCCTCTGTGCCCTGAGGGAAGCAGGCCTGTAGTTCCAGCAGGTACCACAATCCTTGATGCCTGCTTATGGTTAGGCCCCACTGTGATGAGAAGCAGAACGGGGTGTGGGCCGTTACCGACTGGGACCCCTGCCTTCCCTGTGGGGTGATGGAAGGATCCTTCTTACCCAGAGCAGAAAATCCTGGGCACGTTAAAATCCTCTCTCAAATCCAGAGCGCCCCCTACTGCTCCGTGGACAAAAAGAAAGAGACCAGAGCTCCAGAGGATGGGGAAAGAAATTAACGGGAAATGACCTCTGTTGAGGACCGTCCCTCTCGCACTGACCTTGGAGAGGCTCAGAGAAGTGGTTCCACTTCCCAGCGGTTTAATTGGGCGTTTTAGGTGCCTAGAAACTCGGGATTAGGTCCAGTCCCAACACGTACTTCCGTGTGGCCTCAACTTGGCTCATGTCCCTGCCTGCATCGTGGGAATAGTGACGGTACTTCGGTGTTATGGGCTGCTGGAGGCGGAGGCCGGGCAGGCTCCCAGCCCTTCACGCCCTCTCTCGACCCTGCCCACTAGGCCGTGTTTGACTGTGTGGTGAATTCTCTCAAGAACGTCTTCAACATCCTCATTGTCTACATGCTGTTCATGTTCATCTTTGCTGTGGTGGCCGTGCAGCTCTTCAAGGGGAAGTTCTTCCACTGCACTGATGAGTCTAAGGAGTTTGAGAAAGACTGTCGGTGGGTCTCCACTCTCCTAGGCGACCCCGCTGGGGCTGGGGATGGGGCAGCGGGGGCGGGGATGGTAGAGACACCAGTCTCCCGGGCTTAGAAACTGCAGTGTGGGGCATGGGGAATGGCCCTGTTGCAACCAGCTTGGATCTGGAGTAGAAGGAAAGACAGTTTTGTAATTTAAGTCCCTGCCCATCACTTTGGGATGAGCCATAAACTAGTTGCTTAACTTTTCAACCGCCAGCTTTGCCAAGCGGGGGATATTAAGATACGTCCACATTCCCTTATTTGAAACCTTTACAGGTGGATGTGTTTCAAAATCAGAATATTTTGAGATTTTAGAAAGATTATATGGTGTGTGTCCCACATAGGACATAACACCCTCAGCTGGGTCCAAGGCAACCCTGTAATCAAACATGATATTTCTACCAGAAAAGATAGCTATTTGTACCAAATCGGATAAATAACAAGTATCAAGAGACTCACATCCAATTGGGTCAAGTTTTGTTGCCAAACAAATTAGATCAGAGTTGAGAAAACTTTATCGAGGGCCAGATAGTAAATATTTGGGGCTGTTTGCGTCATGCAGTCTCTGTTTTGACTTCTCAGTGCTGCCTTTGTTCTTGAAAAGCAGCCAGAGATGATGGGTACATGGCTGTGTTCTGATAAAACCTTATTTCTGCAAAGTAAAATTTGAATTTCTCATCATTTTTGTCATGAATGATGTGTTTACAATTATTTAAAAGTGTAAACACACACACATTCCCAGCTTGTGGGCCATATAAAAACCAGTCCAGACTTGGTCCATGGGCCATAACTTGCCTACCCCTGAGTTAGGAGAAAAGTGTTTGCTTTTCAGAACTTTCTGGAATTTGGCGCCATGGATAAGGGGTCAGCCTCATGGTAGAAAGCTCTGAACTCAGCTCAGGAGAGTGCTGAGCCTTTAACTTAACCAAGTGCTCGGTAAATGTTGCCGTTGTTGCTGGTGCAGCAAATGGCAGCCTGTTGTCATTTCGGTGGCTCTCCTAGAATTGGAAGGATCCCGGGCATTTAGGTGAGAGTCTGGAGCTCAGCCTTGATCTTGCCCTGCAAAGGAGCAGCCACGTCCCCGACTGGCCTGATGAACCCAGAAACGTGCCTGTCTCTCTCCCGGCTCTTCACCTTAGCTCAAGACTAGACATTTAGCGTGCTAGCCTCCGAGTCGGCTCTCCCAGTCTTTGCAGGGCATGGCACACATCCTCCAGGGAGGAATAGGGGGCGTCGCCGCTTCTTGGCCGCAGGAGAAGCAGCGTGGGCTGGTGGGCCCCGCTTCCTCCTCCTCCCATCTCCGGTGGCCAAAGACAAGTATCCAAAGCCCCCCTCCTCTTCTTACTAACGATCCCCATTTTCTGTGGCAGTGGCAAGTACCTCCTCTATGAGAAGAACGAGGTGAAGGCACGGGACCGAGAGTGGAGGAAGTACGAGTTCCATTATGACAACGTGCTGTGGGCTCTGCTGACCCTCTTCACCGTGTCCACGGGAGAAGGCTGGCCGCAGTAAGTGGCCTGAGCAGGGAGCCCCGCGGAGGAGCTCCGGGGCCCCAGGAAGTGGGAGAGCAACGGGTCTGAGAGCCCAGTGCAGAGAGAGGTCTGGGAGGGAGCGGTTTGCTCCCGGCTTCCCGAGGTAGGGGCCCTCCTAGATGCCCCAGGGGCTGTCACCAGAACAGCAATCTCCACGTGTGGTTGGGCTCACAGGGCAGAAATCCGGCCCTCACTTGGTTCACCAAGCCTTGAGTGTACAGGGCCGCGTCCTCCAGGACCTTCCAGAATGGGCACTATTTCTCATTTACAGAAAGGCTCTGCATGTAGGCGGTCACGGCCTCTTAACCCTTTCTGTGCTGGTGAACGCCAACTCCAAGACAAGGGTGGGAACGTGGCATCGTCCAAGTCCGTTTGACCACAGAACCATTCTCTCTCAGACAGGGCCAGGGCTGGGGTGAGGTGGGTGAGTCTGAGCTGATGAAGTGTGGGGTTGGACCCTGTCTTTATTTAAAATTTTGATATTTTTTTCATCATGAGCCTTTGGGCACTCATTTTGGCTTATTAAAATATTCCAGTAACAGTACTATTTATCTTGGTTATCAAGGATGTTGGTGCCCCCTTAATTTGTGCCCAAGGCAAGTGCCTTAGTCTCCTCACCCTAGTCCAGGTTTTTCTCCCAGAGATCTTGAAAATGCCAGGTTGAAGGCAGCGCGTGCCCTCGGCATCCTCACCTCCTCCTTCTCTCAGCAGACACACCAACCCATACACCTCTGCTCGCGCACACACGGTACCCACACACGTGGGGCCAGTGCTAGCCCAGAAGGCACTTTTGAGTGAATTTTTAAAGCTATCCCTTCCTCAACAGACTTCACTTCCATCTGTCAGAAAATCATTACACTGTACTTAATGATTTTGCTCTAATAAGGCACTTTATGGCCACCTGCCAAAAACTTGTCATCATGAATACACAAATCTATCACATCTACGATATGAATGGCACCGCTTAGACGCAGAGCCCTTGAGCAGTGCTTAACCTGTGCAACCGTCTAGTGCAGCTGAGCACATACACGCTCTCACGCGCATCCCCACTGCACCTCCTCAGCTGCCGCCACCCCCACCCCACCCCCCGCACACACACACGCACACAAACACCTGCCTCCATGACCCACTACTCACTCCCATCCATTAGCGCAAACTTGGTTTCAAATCCCAACTTGGCCACGTCTAAGTGGGTGATCTTTGGCTGTTTAAATTGCTGAATCTCATTTAAATTGCGGAATCTCATTTTCCTTGTGTAAAAGATGTATCCAGTAAGAACCTCCCTGAGAGGGTTGCTGGGAAAATAAATGAAACATTGAACATCATTTCTGGCATGTTACAGGCTCTCGATATGCGGCAGTAACTGTAACCGATATTGTTTTCAGCACTCCCCACAGAGGTGGGAAGCCTTACAGCCTCATAAAGTAACCACGGTAACTGGAATCAGAAAACAGCGATTACTTTTCCTTCTCATACATTTCCTCTTAATATTGCCCTCCCCGTCTATTCCCTTGTCCTGTTTGCCCCCTCTCCCTTCCCTGGTCCTCATAGGGTCCTCAAGCACTCTGTAGATGCCACCTTTGAGAATCAGGGTCCCAGCCCCGGGTACCGCATGGAGATGTCCATCTTCTACGTCGTCTACTTTGTCGTGTTCCCCTTCTTCTTCGTCAATATCTTTGTGGCCTTGATCATCATCACCTTCCAGGAGCAGGGGGACAAGATGATGGAGGAATACAGCCTGGAGAAAAATGAGGTGCCACTTCCCGGTCGCAAACCCCAACACACAGAGAAACCAGTTTCCGGGGACAGGTGGGGAGGGAACAGCAGGGAATCCAGTCCTCAGGGCAACCCTTCATGTGGTTTTCGGAGGAAAATCCCTCAGCCAGTCCATCGGCTTCGACTACATTAGGCTGCAGCAATAAACAGCCCAGGAACTCAGTGCCACATTGCCACAAAGGGGGCGATTTCTTGCTCACCCTACATGTCCAAGGTGGCTCTGCTCCATGTCATCGTTATCCTGGTTTCCTCTGAGACACTTAAGATAAAAAAAGAGAGTATGTATGGCACGCCATGGTTCCAACTCTTAAGGCTTCTACCCAGAAGTGACACAAGTCACTTTTGCTCACATCTCATTAGCCAGAGGGAGTCACACACATCTACGTGTGACGTCAGTAGGGTAGGGAATTATAACGATCCCCCAGGTGGGGTGGTGAATATTTATGAATGAAAATCCAATGCACTAGAGCATATAGGCATGGTCCTTTGTCCTTCTAACATCATCCAAGCTATGTGAAGGACCTAGAATGTATCCTTCCTCTATTCTGTTGGCCGCTAAGATGTCATAACCATGATTCCTTCCTCTCTCCCTCCCTCCAAGAGAAGGAAAAAGAGAAGCAGCAAAGTGTTTGGTAGGAAAGAATGATAGGCTTCAAAGTGAAACTTTGGTTTAAATTCAGGTTTGGCCCACTTGGCAGCTGTGCCACCTCTGGCAAGTGGCTTAATCTCTCTGAGCCTCTCTGAGCCTCTCCCTCCCCCATCTGCAAAGTGGGGCTATTGATAGTACCCATTTCCCATGTTGGCTAAGGGGATTCCACGAGATAGTGGGGGACCTGTCAGTGCAAATTCTGGCCGACAGCGACTTCTCAAGGAGCCATAGCTGTTGGGGGAAGAAAGCCGTCGTGGTGAGGAGCTTGTGGGGAGTCCAGGAATCCCGGCTGGGGGCAGGCGAGGCAGAAATGCAGGCACGTGCCCGAGAGCTGTGCCACGTGAGATGGAGGGCGCTCAGTGTCCGGCGCCGTCCGCCTCCGGCCCTCACACCACTGGCCTGTCTCCCACAGAGGGCCTGCATCGACTTCGCCATCAGCGCCAAACCTCTGACCCGACACATGCCCCAGAACAAGCAGAGCTTCCAGTACCGCATGTGGCAGTTCGTGGTGTCTCCGCCTTTCGAGTACACCATCATGGCCATGATCGCCCTCAACACCATCGTGCTCATGATGAAGGTGAGCCCCCCGGCCCCGCTTCAACCGCCGCCGCATCCCTGCCCCTCACACGCGCCCTGCCTCAGCTAGATGGAACCATTTGCTGTAAGTCTCCCAGACAAACCGCACTGCGTCACGACCCCGCCCTTGCTCCAGCTGTTCCCGCTGCCTGACATGCAGTTCCCACCACTCCGCCTGGCCAGCTCCTTCCAGTGGCACCTGCATGGCCCTTCCTCCAGGAAGCCTTCCCTGATTTCTCCCAAGACCGCACCAGGTCCTCATTTTTGCAAGCATCCTGCAGTTATCTCCCATGCCCTAATATCTGGGTGGTTGCCCGACAATCTCCCACCAGCCCGTGAGCTCTGAGGGGCCAGACAAGTGTCAGTCACACCTGAATTCCTAGAGTTCAGTGAGGGCCCAACTCAGGGGGACAAGAGGCCTTTGATAAATGCTTGATGAATGAAATGAGGAAGGAGGGGCAGATAAGGACCTTCCACCCAGAGGGCCCTGGAGCCTCTTCAGGCTGATGAGTCGGAACTTTTCACCCTGTGCTTTGGAGACCAAAGGCTTGGATTTGAGTCCAGCTCTGCTTTTTAACTCATTCTGAATCCCCTCACAGTGACCCGTGACTTCTCAGGGCCTTGGTTTCCTTGTCAATAAAATGGGAGTGTTAATAAGGCACCTTCTCCCCCACCCCCAGGTGGGGAGGAGGATTGAATGAGAAAGTTCATGCAAAGACATTAGCACATTTCTTGATGCTTCAAAAATACTCAATAAATTTAGCTGCACATTTTTGAACTGACAGAAAAGCAGTGCCTATTTTTGCCCGAAAACTCTTCTCATAAGCCAGTTCTTTTATCTTTCCATTCTTATGATGATGAACGTTTTCAAACAGACAGAAGAGAGACAGATAGTAGAGTGTAGCACTTCTCAAATCGTGATGTGCTCGCCGGCCATCTGGGGGTCTTGTTAAACGCAGATGCTGGTTCAGCATGCCAGTTCAGCGGGTCTGGGTGGGCCGTGGACTCTGCATGTCCAGCCGGCATCCCTGGACCACGTCCCGAGTGTCCAGGCTCTCATGATCACCCAGTCCCCATCCCCCAGAGTTACCCATCTGAAACACTTTGCCGTGTGACCTCTGTCTACCTTTTTTCTCATTTTTTTTTTTGTTGAAGTGAAATTCACATGACATAAAATACACCATTTCAAAGTGTACAGCTCAGTGGCATCTAGCACCTCTGTCTACTTCCAAAACATTTCCATCGCCCCAAAAGGTAACCTCATCCCTGTGAATAGTCACTCCCCATTCCGCCACCTCTAGCCCCGGACAACCACCTATCTGCTTCCTGTCTCTATGGATTTGCCTGTTGTAGACACTTCATCTATGAGTTTTTTAGTATTTTGAATGATAGACACCACACTATTTTGCCCTTAAATTCTTCTGTATGCACGCCTTAAAGATAAGGACATTTTCCTACATATTTTTACGCTTGACAAGATGAGTAATAATTCTCTAAGTTCCACATTGAATTGTCCTCAAAATATCTTCTACAGCAAGTTGTTTTTTGAGCCAAGATCTAAATGGCTACACATGGCCTCCAGTTTTTGTCTTTTAAATCTCCATCCTCCCCATCCATACTTTTTTTTTTTAATGCTCATGACTTTTTGAGAAAACCAAACAAACTGAATGAAAACGGTTCCAGCTCTGGGTGCATTGGTGTAACTTCTTCAATCCTCCATATTTCCTGTAACCTGATAGTTAGGTCTAAAGCTTATAGATTTGACTCTGATTAAATAGTTTGGGCAAGAATATTTCATAAGGAGTCAGAATGGTGGTTACCTGTGGGGCAGGTGATCGACTGGGAGGAGATGCAAGGAAACCCCCTGGGCTGCTGGAAATGTAAATCTTGGTCTGGGGAGTGGTCCCACGTGAGTGCACAAGTAGAAGTTAAGAGAGATCTGGAAAAGTGAAGGAAGTACTGCACAGAGGATGCTTTAGAGCCCCCATCGGCCAGGCTGTCCTAGGATCTACGATGCTAAGACAAGATTCAAGAAACAAGTTTCTGTTTTGATGTGAGAGCTTGCCTGGAACCCAGGTCAGCCCCACAGTTCGTCAACAGGAACGCCAAGTTTGAGTCCCGCTTGCCCAGGAATAGGACAGCCGCAGGGATAGGACATCCATAAAGCCACCTCCCCAGTCCCCGCCGCCCACTGACCCCGCCACCCTTCCTCCTTCCTACTCTAGTTCTATGGGGCCTCGCTTGCTTATGAAAATGCTCTGAGAGTGTTCAACATCGTCTTCACCTCCCTCTTCTCTCTGGAATGTCTTCTGAAAGTCATGGCTTTTGGGATTCTGGTAAGTACAGCCTGAGTCTAAAGCTGTGGGTTGGGAGAAAGCCCGGAGGGTTACTGGGTGCTGGGTGGCAGTCTCCCCGCCTGGCCCCAAAATGCCCAACCTCAGCCCTCTGACGCCCACAGACTTTGTTTAGGCGTTCTTGTGCTTGCCAAGTAACCCCGATGACACCCAACACGGATTGACTCTTACTATGTGCAAGGCACGTATTTCTTCAGTCGTTCTCAAAACTGAGGAACTGAGATCCAGACAGGCTAAGTTTATGGCGTTCAAACTGCTCTAACCACAATCCACAGTGAGAAACAGAATTTACGATAGAGCTGAACTGAGATCCAGACAGGCTAAGTTTATGGCGTTCTAACCACAATCCACAGTGAGAAACAGAATTTACAATAGAGCCCAGCACACAGAGGTGCATATAGACAATCAAAATGAAATTATCAGAAAATCAGCAGCAACCCTTAAGCGTGCCCTGAACTTGATTGTCTGTTCCACTCAGCTCCATTTCCTTTTTCTTAACGCAGTTCATGACCCACTCACTTGATTTCATCTCCCACTAAGGCAGGTAGTCTCAGCATGAGGCCCACTGACCCCCCAAAGGGATCTGTGAATGGGGGGATCTGAAATTAGATGTAAAAAAATTACATTTTTATTTTTCACCAGCCACCAACTGGACGTTAGCATTTCCTTCCATCTTGAAGGCAGACAACAAACCCCCGCAATATTACCAATATGATCTGTGTCAGTGATAAAGATCAGATATTTTCCTAGTACGTTAGAGACATTGCAGGTACCTCACAGTTTAGTTTTTACTCATCATTGCTTCAAAATGCTGGCGGTTATTAAAGCTACAGCTAAAACTTATTTCATATGTTACTGAAAAAATGCATTCATCATTAGATCACAATTTTAAAAAATATTTTGATTATTGTATTTCAAAGTAACAGATGTCCTTGCAATCCTGGGTTTTTTATTTTATGCATTTACAAAGCTTACTCTCAGAAGGTTTTCTAAGATGGCCAAGGAGGTTCACAACACACACCAAAAAAAGTGAAGAAGGGCTAAGCTTAATGGCTTGTGACTTGGGGTGACTTCGAGAAGGTCTCCAGTGACTGGCCAAGCTGAGACTGGACATAGGATGTCTCCCCTCTTGACCACCCACTTAGCCTGTTTCTCTGAAGAGAATGAGCTACAACACGTGTTCTCAGCCAGGATCCGGGGTGTGGAGCCTGGGTTCTCACCTTGGCTTTCCGAGGTGGTGAAGAGCATCAGCTTTAGCACCAGAGAGACCTCGATTCAAATCATATCCAGGCCCTGTCACCTCACCTCTGTCTCTTCTATCACAGAAAGGGCCCATCTTATGCCTCTCTCAAACCCTAAATGCAAATAATGTGTGTCTGCAGACTGAGGGGGAAAGCCTGGATGCAGTAGGTGCTCAACAAATGCTGGGAAGGGTTACAGTAAAGCTCATTACCCCACCTTTCTCCTCCAAAGCAGTGGCTCTCAGCTCTGCTACTCATCAGAAATATCAAGAGATTTCTTGATTTCTTAAAATTGAATCATGCCCCAGACCCACCACCAGAGGTTCTGATCTGCTTGGTCAGGTAGGAGCCCCTGAACCTGTATGTGTAATGAATAGCCCCGGAGGTGTCCAGGGTACAGCCCAGGCTGTCTGGCCCTGCACTGAGCATCAGCCAGACTGGGGAGGCACCCTGCAGCCAGGACAGTGGCACCAACTCAACGTTCCAGTCCTGGGGCCCGGTCACAGAATGTGCATGGGGAGGAGCTTGGACTCACACACCCATACCTGGTGCAAATCTTGCCTCAGCCCTTTTATACCTGTGTGGCTGAAAGCAAGGCACTTGGTCTCTCTGCTCCTGTGTCCACATCTGCAAAATGGGAGTACCACAGGCCCTGCCCAATACATCTGTGTCAGAAATCTTCCATTTCCAGACCATCTTCTTTCTGGTGGTGAAGTGATTTCCAACCAGTGGCTGGGGCTCCCTCTCCCCCACCCCTAACAATCCCACAGGGGCTGCACAGAGCTTCCCCTTCAGTTTTAGATGAAGCCCCAAGTTCCTCATGTGGAATTTAGGCCATTAAGGGGGGCTTTCTAGTCCAGGGGCTTGAGGCCTGTGGCCAGACAGCTAGGAAGTTGCCTACACTTGAGCTCGCCCAGAAGCAGATCCTGAGACAAGGTTTGAGTGCAAGGAACTTCTCTGAGAAGTGAGCCCAGGAAACATGGTAGGAAAAATGGGGAGTGAGGCAAGGGTGGGAAGGTAAGCCAGTACAAGGTGTGTTATGAAACTATTTCCCACTGTGGACAACTTAGTGCAGTTCTGCTTGGGACCTCCAGGAGGCAGCAGAGAGCCATGATCAAGGGCTGCTCCCAAGAGACATGTTAATTCCCCAGCAAAAATGCAATCCAAGAAAGCCCCTGGGCAGAATAATGAAGGTGTGCAGTCAGAATATGAGGGGATATAGGTAGGGCCCCAGCAGCACCTGCTAAAATACCAAAAGTGCCAGTGGCACCTGAATTGCTTTTAGACAATTGTAAAACAATGTCCACCTTTTGAGTACCTACTGGATACCAAATCCTGCTCAGACTCGCATTATCTGATTGCTGTTATACCCTCGTATTCCAGAAGAGGGCGCTAAGGCCCATGCAATCCAAGGACATTAAACTCACACATACTGAAAGAATTTGATCCTGGGAAGCACAGCTCCAAAGTCCATGTGCTCCGTGAGGCAGAGGGGCTGCTGCAGGGTCAGATGCTCAGGGTAGGAGCTGAACACTCAGAATGGGACCTGAGCCCTGACCTGACTGGATCCCACCAAGCTTTGAGGGGAGGGC